CAGGCCATGGTATTTTTGATCATTTCACATGCACGTGAAAGTGGGATAATGAATAAGGAAGGTGGACAGAAAGTACCGTGGACCGTGCCTGAAGAAGGAACAAATTTGTCTTGAGAAAAGCAGCCAGCCTGCTCCTTAGCCGTGAGGATGGCGAGACATCATCTCACCTACTTGGGATACAGCATCAGGAGAGACGAGATCCTGCAAAAGAGCACCGTACTTAGTCCAGAAGGTCGGCGAGACATAGGAGGACCGTCAACAAGGTGTATTCAAGCAGTGGTTTTATGTAACCATGCGGCTGTGCAGATGGCATGGAACCAGGCAGTGTTGCGTCCTGTCGTACGCCAACATCTTGTGGTGGGAACTCACCTACCAGCACGTGATGCGACAATCCATTTCTCAAAGTTGCCTGGTTGTTGCTGACGATAGCAACCAGTGCTCGTGTTCTTTCAGCCAACAAATAAAAACACGTGGGAACTGGGAGCTGCACCTTTTATTTCCATATGATATGATCTTTCATCCTTTTTTTCCTCCTGTTGCTTCTCATTATATATTTTCACTTTCACAAGTCACTTAGTTTAAATGTTTAAACATTTCCCCCTTCAGTAGCCAGAAAGAAAACAAAGCAACGGGCCAATCTCATCATAAATGTATCTCTAGCTACAGGAGATAAGCTTCAATGCAATCTGGCCATAAAATATGGCTCCCGGGCTGTGGGGAGATGCAATAAACTCCATAAATAAAAGAATTTCAAAATACTCCTGGCAGTAAATACGGCTAATACGTAACGTGTCACTGGCAGCGCACAGCCAACGACAGAGCTACTTATAAAAGAAAACTACAAACTAAAATCAGAAAGGATTTGCAGCTGCTGCTGTTACTTTACACCCTAGGTGGCCTGGCAGGAGAATTCACTGTGGGACCTTGTTGCCTCACCTTTGAAATGTTCCCTCTGTTTCATCTCTTGACACTTTCTGATTTGCCCGAAGACCTGTGATAATCACCAAGGAAACCCAAGCAGAATGAGGCCACAAATCGGAGAGTGTTCACCCGTGTAAAGTCGTGAGAGAAGGCCTTAGAAAGGCAGCGAGCTGGAAGGACAGGACCCTTGCCTGGGCCTGAGACAAGTCGTGGCGTTTGTCACAGTTCTGAGGTTGACTTGACTTTCGGTTTTGCCTTGTAGCTCATCTTTAAAGAAACCTGACGTTCTCCCGAAGTCCATCTCTGATTTCCTTTTGGGGCTTCAACTTGAAAGTTTCTTGGGCGCCAGCTGAGACCGTCCAGAAGCAGTTGGCAACTGGTGCTTTGGTGCGAGGGACTAGTCAGTGGTGGATTATTTGTGTTCACGCTCACTTGCTCACTATCACTGGCTCACTCGCCCCAAAGGGTAACAGGGGAGGAGATGGGAGCTCTGTCACCGGGGTAAAACCAAAGTGTGTCGGTGCTCACATGCAATTCCTATTTTCTCTCCTGTGTATCTGCTGTGAGCAATTACCAGGTCTGTGACTGGCAAACAGATTAGGTATGAGCTTTCACCTCAAGAAACTGAGGACGCTGCCAGCACAGGGGGAGTCACTTGTGGTACCGTCGGAGTGAGCCCGGGAAGGTGGGCGAGGCTAAGCTTGGTTTTATAAGGCAGGTAGACTCCTTGGTGGTGGGAAGGGCCATCCAACGTGGCGGAGTGTAGAGCTGGAAAGATGGGAAAGAAGTCGGCGTGAAGAACAGAGGGCTACAGTTGTTTGTGTGGCTGCTGCTGCTGCTGCTGCTGCGAGGAGCTGTCGAGTCCTCTCGGACTCACAGCGACCCTTTGTACGAGAGCATGAAACCACCCAGCCTCGCACCATTCTCACAGTTGTTCTTCTGTGCCCATGGCGGCAGCCACCGTGTCAGTCCATCTTGTTGAGGGTCTTCCTCTTTTTCACTGCCCCTCTACTTTACCAATCATGATGTCCTTCTCCAGGGACTGGTCTCTCCTAACAAGATGTCCAAATTACACGAGATTAAAGTCCTTGCCTCTAAGGAACCTTCTGGCTGTACTTCTTCCAAAATGGATTGGTTTGTCCTTTTGGCAGCCATGGGACTTTCTGTATTCTTCGCCAGCACCATAGTCCAAGTACATGGATTCTTCTGCCACCGGTCTCTTTTCTTGTCCATCTTTCATATGCATATGAGGTCATTGGCAGTACCAAGGCTTGGGCAGGCACACCTTAGTCCTCACAGTGCCAACCTTGCTCTTCAAACATTTTAGAGAGGTCTGCACATTTATCCAATACAATGCGCCATTTGATAACCTGACTACTGCTTCCATTCACACTCACTGTGGATCCAAACAAAATGAAATCCTTCCGTCTTTCTCCAGGCATTAGGATGTAATCGGCTGGTCCACTTAGGAGGATTTGGGTTTTCTGTACATTGAATTTTAATCCATACTGAAGGCTATAAGTGTTGGTCTTCAGCAGCGAGGGCTGCAAGTCTTCCTCACTTTTAGCAAGCAAGGTTGGAGTTAATAAAAAGCCCTACAATGCCATTTTAAGGAATTTGGACTTGACACAGTTAGAAGCTATAGAAAGATGTTAGAACAAAAGGTAGTACGTTTTCTGTTTTCAATCTTTTTTTATAGAGAGACATCTATCTCTGCTGGAGGTCAAGACCAGATGAAAGCTAGGCGTGGAGGTGGGGCTCTAGGGAAACAACAGAGGGGAGGGGACGAGCATTCATTTCATTAAGAACTCACTGTGTCCTGTGCTGTCTAAAGGTGGAAATTTTGTTTGATTTGTTTTGTTGTAGCGGAATCATGTCGAGAACAAGATAGCACAGAGCTTTAATTCTAAGTTTGATTTCATTTCTTAAGAGCCGATAATCGTGGGCCAGGAACTTACATTATCTTATCTTTCTCATCTGCATAATGGGAATAATAATAGACCGTCATGCACAGGTTTGTACCAATAGCCAGGTACTATTAGGTCAGTTCCAACTCAGCGATCCCAGGTGTGTGAGGGTTCCATTGGTTTATCAAGAGTTGGTTCCCCTCCCTCTTTGCCAAGCCTTTCTTCCACAGTACCTCTGGATGAGTTTCAATCTCTAGCCTTTTTGTTCAGCAGTTGAGCCTTTAACTCTGCACTACTCGGGATTCTGCATTTAGGGTTCTAATCAATGTTAATTGAAAGGTTTTGCTTATACCTGTAACTCTGGAAGAGTGCCCAGTGGATTATGGTATAAAATGTTACTAAATATTATCTCTTGTTAGTTTTTTTCATTGGTTCAGTGTTTGACTTATTTAGTCATTTATTTGCTCTGTATAAATTTGCCCTTAAGGCAATTCAGGGTAAACGTGAGGTCAGCAGTTCAAATCTACCAACTGTTCCATGGGAGAAAGCTGAGTCTTTCTGCTCCAGGAAAGATTGACAGCCTCAGAAACCAAAAGGGCCAGTTCTACTCTGCCCTGTAGGGTCCTTCTTAGTCGGAATCAACTTGATGCAGTGAGTTGTGCTTTATTTTGACAGAGGGTCATTGGTAAATTTTGGTGGCAGAATCTTTCTGACATCTCCACCTCCTTTAGTAAGTTTTCTTGGGTCAAAAGTTTCCAGCAGAAAACCGGAGGGGGAGATCTATAAATGAGAACAGCTACACCCTCAACCCCACCATGTAAAGTGTGAACTGGAAATTTTACAAAGAATGCTGCTACATGCCGGGCCATCGTGCCACTAAGGTGTGTAACGGGGACCAGGGGAAGCGTTAAGTGAAGTTTCATGGTGGGAGAAATTGGGCGGTCTGGCTGAGAGCACAGCTTGTTTTATTATTTTGATAAACAGGTTCTGAAATTCAAGGACATAGTTAGAACCATATTTGAATAAAAATGCAGAAACACCTTTAACAATTCCCAATATAAATATTTAACTGCCTGGGCCTTTGCTTCCCTCTCTGTAAACAGAGCTGCACACTCCCCACGTGAAGCAGTAAATCTCCTGCTCATGGAGACAATAATTTAAAATCATATCGACATGATAGTATAGGCATATCTGCTGTATCTGCTTTGTCAACTACTTTAAGTATGTGTTTATTATATAAATAACTGTGGGCTCAGATATTGGCATTCAGAAGACTATCTAGTCAGAGGGAAATGGTTCCTTCTTGTTTCCCAGTGCAGGGTCGGCGATAGGACTTTTGTGAAATGTTTTGTTTTGTAGGAAGTGTCTCTGGGATTTGGGAAGAAAAGCCAAGCATCTAGGAACTTTGAGACAAACACATCCCTCTGTATAACTGAGCCCAACAAAGTGTTCCTGGAGACTGTAGGGCTTTTGTTTGGTTTGATTTGGATCGTGGTATTTTAGTGCTAGGGAATAAACTCTTCACTGATGAAAGGCGTAGGCTGTGTCTCCTTTTTTTCAGTGGGGAGGGTGGGGGGCTCACCAAGAGTGCCAAAGCACATGCACCTTCCCCAACTAAAACACAGCATCACGGAATCAGGATGAAGGTTCTAGAAACCAGTCCAAGAAGTGCAAGAGAGGGCAGATAATGCCTTCCGGCACGTCTGTGACTAAGAATTAAACTCCAGTAGCCTTGGATATTTTTGAAGGGATACCCCTAGATTAATTTACTCTTTCCACGATTCATGGATACACAATTTTGGATGGTTAATAAATTGGGACGGTTGTATTAATTGGCGGATTTGCTGAGACTGGTTTGCAGTATTGTGATTGTGTGGTTAGGATAACAAGCTACAACAGATGGCATAAGAGAACCAGGACGGGTGGCTTACAGTCCAGCCCCAACCCTGCCTGGAACAGAGGTGTGACCTCAAGGAAATGACTACCTTTCCCGGCTACTGTTCCTCCCGTCTCCTGAGGATGAAATGAAGGGAGATTAGGGAAAGCAGTTGGGAGCACAGGAAGCCCTAACCAGAAACAAATGCAGCTATCGACCGTCATCAGTGGTCTTACCAACAGACGTGCGGATAAGTGACTCTTGGGCATTTTGTTTGGTTTTGCTTCCTTCTGCAGGGGACCAGAGAAACCCTGAGTCACCACTGCACCACCCTTGGTGAAGCTCTTCATAAAGAGAATGATTTTGCTCTGATCATTGACGGGAAGACCCTCAAGTATGCCTTAACCTTCGGAGTCCGACAGTACTTCCTGGACTTGGCTCTGTCGTGCAAAGCTGTCATTTGCTGCAGGTAAGTTCAGCTTCTTTCATATTTTCAGCCTTCAAGGAAGGAAGAGTGACTGGATCCTTTGACTCATTTCTTTTTTCTTTTAACATAACCCAATTGCTACTCCCCAAAGTAAGATGCAGAACTGTGTACTGCATCTTTGTGTACTGCAAGTAGATAAGAATAGTTTCACATTATTATTTATAGACTGCAAGTCTATAGCTGCTGCCCAGGAGCAAGGCGTGAAAGTCACTGCTATCGGACGCACGTTGGATTCTCTGTCCATGTTCTTCGCCTCCTCTCTGCCCTGTGAGCACTTCGCTAAGCCAGCCTTCTGGCTGAAGGCTTGCCTGGCCTTTTCCTTGCCTTTCCTTGGGGATATTTCCACATTCTCTACTAGGGTGTTCCTTGGACATATTCCTAAGTAAGACTCTGTCCTGCAAACCTCTGGACAGAGCAGCCAGAAAACAGAAAGGAGGAAGCTGAAGAGAGTTGTTTTTCTGCAGGTGCTTTCTGCAGCATTACATTTGGGGCCGTCGAAAACAAAGTTCTTAGGTGGCCTAACATGGTCTTTGCACATCTGTTCTCATGGCTCTTTAGGCAGTTCCAAGGCGAGTTTTGCCAAAATTAAAATGACAGCTCGCTTGCCAATTCACCTTGGTGTCCTGCCCAGACTACGGTTCTGAGCCTCCCAGCCTTCTATCAAAGTGTTTGCTTATGCCTAACAAGCTCTCATAACTTTGCCTCCTGTCCACGCTACTATGTTCACAGATGTATTTGCAGCAAAGGTAAATACATTTGTAGACATACCCATTGTCCGTATGTCTCAAATATCCCCTGTTAGTTTGTAACCTTAACTTCTTGATTTCAACTTCCCCTTAAATTACTTTATATATTAAAAAAAATGTAAATGTTAGACTACATATTCATCTGGTCACTTAAGATTCATAATCTACGATAGAATTTTTTAGCAGAGTCTTTGTAAACCAGGACTAATAATTTTTCAGCATCATTGTTCATAATTTGAATCAGCAATCTCCTTGCCACTTTTTGTGTGTTTAAATTATTGAATTGATTTTCAATGTAGGGCTTGTTTGTTTGGTTTGGTTTTTAAGGTTTCTATTGTAAATGGAGTCTCTGGGTGGTGCAACCTGTTAGTGGCTTGCCTGATCTAAGGGAAAGGGCTGAGTCCACCCGGAGGCGCCTTGGAAGAAAAGCCTGGCGGTCTGCTTCCCAAAGATTCATCGTGGACACTCTGAGGAGTACAGTTCTACTGGACACAAAGGGGGTCACAGTGAGTCAGAGTTGACTCAACAGCAGCCGTTGTTTTGGGCCCCGCCCCCACCCCCACCCCCCTGTGCTTACTTGCATCTTCAGGAGAGAGACAGGACTGGCTACTCCCATGAAGAGTTACAGTTCTGAAACCCACAGGGGCAGTTCTGCCCCATACTTGACTCGACTCTATAGTGTCGCTGAGTTAGAATTGGCCGAGCAGTGAGTGAGAGCCCTGCTTCTTGATGCCCTGCCAGCACTTCCTGTGGGAGGGAGGGGATGGTGCGACTGCAGGCGCTTCACATCATTTTCCACATGGGTGGCCATTTTCCGATCTCTCGATTCTATTGTCCTTTGCCCTCTAATTTCAAGTACTGCCCAGACCCTAAATGAACATCGGTCTTTGAGTTACCAAGGCCTAATCCATAGAATTGCATTTTTATACACGAGCTCCAATTTTTCTTTTAACTTCTTGTCCCAGAATTATCCCCATTTTATCTAAGTTGGTGAAACCATGTCCTTCTAACACACATTTGTGGCTATTCCCATTCTCCTCTTTTCTAGCTGCCAGAAACCGAAAGGTTTTTCTCTTTGCCATCCCACTTATTAAATCTTAGCGGCAATCCCTCCAGTCGTGCAGATACCCTCGCACTGCGAGGGTAGTGCTGGATCGGGCACGGCTTGGCTCTGTGGAGCACCTTGGAGTCACCCTGAGTTGGAACGGACTCAGAAGCACCTAGTCTCAGCGAGCACTCCGTCCAGGCTAGGTGTGCACCACATTGCTCTCTCTCTTCCCAAGAACTTCTCAGAATCTGGGTTGGGAACAATAATTTTTAAAACTGTTCTAGTTCC